CCTCGGAGTTGTTCGAAACAACCGGTTTCATGAACTGGGACAAACCTCAACAGTGCTCAAAACCTTGCATCAAGAGTTCATAGGGGATGGATGGCTCTATAATTGACAAGAAGCTCAGGCAAGAGTTCTTTGAAATGAAATGCTACTCAGTCAAGATCAAATACCTAAAGAAACACTACCAGCGAATGAGCAAGAGGTTCTACCACCTTAATGGATTCAATGACCCTAGCCTGAAAAACACCTATGTCGCATCCCTTCCTACTGAGCTACAACCTGAACTGAACAGGATGACAATGGTTGTTCAGAAAGACTTCACTACCTTGACGATTGTTTGATCCACTAGATGACCCTTCAAGCAGTTGACAAGCTTTGCAGACAACACGAGTTCTTTTCTGACATCATGACTCAGAAAAACAAGTTTAACAAAGCTTGTCAAAAACCATACCTTGAGATCAAATGCAAGAAACTTTGTTCAGGCAACTGCAAGAAAAAAAAAAGCGAGAAAAGTCACTTTTCCGTAAGAAGAAGAAGGAGAAGAAGAATTTTAAATTCTTCGAGAAGAAGAAATTCAGGGGAAAAGTACAAGACCAACGATGTTTTATCTGCAAGAGAAAACGACATTTCTCCAAGAACTATCCCCACAAAGCTAAAAGAGTCATCAACCTCATTTCCACCCTCCAACTTAATGACAATGAGGACATAGATAGTGGCGGACCTTCTTGGGAGTTGAGGGAGGTCGTGGCCCCCCCCAAAGTTTTGTAACTCCCATGTAATTTATGATTTTGACTCCCCCCAAACTTAATGAATATTTAATATATTTACTTGTTTATTTACAATTTTATCCTCTCAGTCCCTCCTTAGTTTTGTAACTCTCATATAATTTATGATTTTGTCCCTCTCAAACTTAATAATCATTTAATATATTTAAGTATATATCTACAATTTTATCCGTTCACCCATTCATATTTTTTCTTTCTTTTATATTTATTTATTATTTATTAATAATATATTATTTGACCCCCTCAAGATAAATGGTCAAGGTCCGCCACTGGACATAGAGTCTCTCTATTCATGACAAAGCTCTACAAACAAAGAAACCATCTTTGCCCTTATCATCTCCTCTAACAAGACTGAATCAGAATATTCCAATGAATCAGAAACTGATAATGTTCCAGTATTTTCCTTTCAAGAGACCAATCTTATTAATGTAACTCCTCCACAACCATGTTTGGGAGTCCAACTTCTTCCTTCGAAGTATGATAAAGCCATTAAAACTATAATTTATCTTAACATAGGAGCTCAGAAGTCTATGATGGATCCTGACATATTTCCCAAAGAATTTTGGAAGAAGGAAACATCCTATTTCATTGTAGCTGACGGGAAAATCTTCAAGACTTAATTGATTACCAGAACTCCAATTGGAATCAAATTTTTCCCAGAATGTACAGTCTGGTGCAAAGTAATTGGAATCAAACTTCACAATAAAGATATACATACTAGTAGGTATGGATATCTTCTTCATGACTAACAAACTTCAGATCCATCCTATAGGAATCAAATTCAAGAGGGAATTTCAGTCTTTCACAGACCTACTCAGACTTTTCTCCTTCTCCAAAGCTCCTCCAGACTTTGAAGAAATAAAAAGCAAGTTAGCCTCTCTGTGCGCTAACAGTCATGAGGAAGTCTCTCATCCCAAGCCTCTATAGAAGAATCCTGAGTTCTTTGTATAGTTACTCTTCAAGCTCAACATAGACGTATATCCAACGAAAGCCACACATCTAGGAATGTCTCCATCAGACCTACAGTTAACAGGACAAGAATGCCAAGAACTATTGAAACAAGGCCTGATCAAATCAACCCAATTTAATTGGGCCTATCAAGACTTTCATGTGGAAAAGAGGTCTGAAAAAATCAGAAGGAAAAAGAGGTTAATTATCGACTGCAAGCCTCTTAATCATTTTCTTAATGATGACAAATTCCCAATACCCAAAGCCTCATCCTTACCTACTCTGATAAAAGAAATTGATATCTTTTCTAAGTTTGACCTTAAATCCGGATTCTGGCAATTAGGCATTGACTTAGCTGACCAAGATAAAACTGCTTTTTGTACCCAATGTCCAATACCAATGGAAAGTAATGTCTTTTGAACTTAAGACAGCCCCATCACTATTTCAAAAAGTCATGAAAAAAATCTTTGAGTTCATACTAAACAGAGCGATCATTTACATTAATGACATCTTACTGTTCTTAGAAGATATGGACTCCCATAAACAGTTATTATATCAATTTTTTGGAATATCCCATCAACATGGAATTATGTTCTTAGAGAAGAAGATCCACTTGGCCCAGTAAGAAATCGATTTTTTGGGTAAGCATTTTTGTCAAGGCTCTTATCAACCTCAACCTCACATTGCTTAAGAACTTCTTAACTTCCTAGATGAAAATTTGACAGCAGATCCAACAGTTTCTCGAGATAGTCAACTACATTAGGGAATTCATCCTTAATGTTGTTAGATACACAAGTCTCTTATCCAAGCTCTTAAAAGAAGAATCCACCTCCATGGGGACCAGAACAGACCAGAGCCATTAAAGAATTGAAGAAGGTAGCCCAGACTCCTCCAGCTCTGAAGATTCCAGACAATAGAAAACAGGTACTACAGACTGATGCCAATGATGACTACTGGGGAGCAGTGCTCATTGAAGAAGACAATGGGAGAAGGAACTACTGTGGTCATGCCAACGGACAATTCAAGGATGTTAAGAAATTTTACCACATTACATTCAAGGAAGCCTTGGCAGTTAAAAATGGAATAAAGAAATTTGACTTCCAACTCAGAGGACATCACTTCGAGGTACAAATGGACAACTCTTCGTTCCCAAATATCCTAGAGTTCAAGAATAAGATGCCTCCTAGTCCTCAGATTCTCCGACTAATGGACTGATTTTCCATGTATGATTTTACTATTAAGTACATTAAAGGAAACCTAAACTCAGTCTCTCACTTTTAGTCCAAACCCTAGAAGACTATCCAATTGATTTCTAACACCTATAGTCTTCCTCTCATCTTCATGGTCAAACATCTCTCTAAAAAATTCAAAATCGTCAAAGTTTATCCTACCGGATTGAACCCAATGATATTCTCCATTATGCAAAGACTCGTTATTTCTACTTTCTACATGAAACCATGAAATACAAAATAATCTCAGCCTCCATCTTTAACCCTAATATTCCTTTTGGGAATTTCTGAATTATTCTGTGACCTGGGTTGGGATCTATGTGAACCAACTCTTTGGACCATATGGTGCAACATTGTTCAGTACTCCATTCCTATCGCATTGAAAATACAGACAACCTATAGAATCTTGATAGATCCTTACAAGGATAAGTTCTACTTCTGGATTCTACTCGATTGGTTCTCACCACTATCATGGTGGAGAAAGAACTCAAGAAGATCCTAGACTTTCAGAAGCAAAGGGGAGTTACTAAAAGCTCTCTCAAAGATCGTCCATACTTCCTAAATCCAACAGGTCAACTATGGTCAAGAAATGAAGCCTACATCTGGGGCAGCTTCGAGACCTATTCACTTGATGAAAGTTACCAGGAATAACTGGCGCGACACCTCTGCGAAGTAAACAACTACCATCATAAGTCAGTGGACCCGAACATCGCTAGCTTATCTCAAAGACCACTTAGTTCTTATCCTTTGAACAGGATCGTCCCAAAAGACGATGAATCTCAACAGATAAGGTTCTGCAAATCAACTACTGAGATTTACATACCTAAAGAAGAATTTCAAAAGGTTGAAGACTTAGCGGATGATTACAACGAAGAATTAATGGATGAAATGATGGCGCATAAAGAAATGTATCCCTATTAGGACCCACTACATGAAAGCATGATAAGGAGCGTGGCCCAGCAGATGAACCACTCTGACTCCACCAGATCTGACTAAAGTAAAGGCTTTAATTAATGGTTGTCATTATGATATACTACTAAAACACGATTATCGTATCTTTACACTTGTTAATTGTTATCATCTCCACAAACGTGTTATCTTATTTGATGGGACTGAACCAACTTTACTTTATTTGATGGGAAATGGTATCTTATCATATCTTATCTTATTTGTAAGATATCTTGTAACATCTTATCATGTCTTGTCTTTTTGTAAGGTCATTATGAGTGTGAGCCATCATCTTATCTTCAGATTCCACTTTGTATGATATTTGGGATCCGAAGTTCATTTTAGTTTAGCGTAAATTTGAATTCCGCTTATGTGGTTTACCTATAAATAGGAAGAGATTGTAATGTTGTAAGACAGAACGAAACCACCAAAGATCATACAAGTTCTCTTTCTAAAAATATTCTCTCTCTAAGTTGTCTTTTCTCTGAAAGCTAGAAGCTTATAGTTCTTAGTATCATTCCCCACTTAGATGCAAATATGCTCTACACTTGCCTCTTATAAGGATCCTGTGTATCAGAAAGCTTTCGATCCCTGAAACCATTTTATCGCAGAACGCTCTTCTTATAAGAAATATGAACTTGAGTGGGATTTTAGCCGAGGGATGGCGCCATTATGCCTGAGGAGGTTCATATCGTCTGGATAAGAAGGAGTCTCTGTCTGAAATGATATCAGAGCATTTCGGACAAAGACCTTTTCTTATAAGAAATATAAGTGGAAGGCGAGTTGGAGAAACCTTTAGACATGGATATCCAAGAAATAGATCCTACTATCTAACACCTACCTTCTCTTATACGATCATTTGTACAAATCATTCTCTAGAAGCAAAAAGGATAACAAAAATTACTAGATTCTACGATAAATACAGTTTAATTTAGTGACCAAGTTTATCCCGATCAATAATCAACGAGGAACAACCTTTTTACGTTGAGTATCCTGAAATAGTACATTTATTTGTCTCATAGTCCCAAAATGCAGCATGTTTCAGAAGCATGTTGGCTAAATTAGCTTGTCATTGTTGAAGAATAAATCTGTGGCATCAAGCAATTATATCAATTGGGTGCTCTTGATCATCTACAAGCAACAAATGAGACCCTTCTTCTATTATCATTGCACCAGCCTCATTTGCTCTACTAAGATGTTCACAAGGACTTACCTCAAATCCAACATGAGTCATTTCCCCTGCATCAAGCATCACACTCTGAAAAGCCACCAACTGTTTCACAGGGCTTCCACTTTTTTGGTTTTTAGGCCTCATAAAAAGCAGTACAGGATGCTTCCCCACCATGCTTCCATGATTTTGAACTCTCACTGTGACTGAGAGTGACATGCTTTGGCAGGTATGATCACTCAACTCCGAAACTAGTTTGTACCTTATGTTTTCTGAATTTTCAATCATCAAATGAGTAGATGAGTGATTCAAATGAAGCTTGTCATTTGTAACAGAAACAAACTCATAGGAATACTTTGAGTAGCTTAGTCCATAGCCAAATTCATACACTTTTGGACCCTTGTAAAATCGGTAAGTTCTCCCAGGATAGCCTGTTGAAGGATCAGCTCTCATTCTCATGTCTGTCATCGGTACTTTGATGTAATCTTTTGGGTACCAAGTAATTGGTAGTCTTCCTCCTACATTTTATTGATGACAGATAGCACACACCACTTCAGTAATACACTTGTGAATCTGTGAACTATTATGACGTGTTGTTTGTTCGTTCATTACTTCATCAAATACAATGGACGCGGAATTAAAACAAAATACAAGTAAATCTTCGCTTTAGTCACTTATCCTCGTAAACTGTTGCAAAATATCATTTACTTTAGACCTAAACTCAATTAAAAAAGTATAGTTAGAACACGAATAGAGTGATCTTTTCATTGAAAGTTTTGTAAAAAGACCAAAGTTAAAGATATTATCACAATATCAGGGACATATATATTCATAAAATACAAAACTAAATTCACCTGGGTTGTGGTCACCAAAGATAATCTGTGCAAGTGCAATGCCTCCAAGTTCTCCTGGATAACCAGCCCAGAGGATGCCTCCAACTTTGTGGTTATACTTGGCTGAACTGATATCTACAGGCCCTCCACAAAGTAGCACCAAAATAACTGGTTTCTTAGAAGCTTCAGCAACGCTGATGATGAGCTCAAGTTGCTTGCCCGGCAAGTCTAGATGAATGCGATCACGTTCTTCCCTCTCTTCGCTTTGATCCAGTCCCATAACCAGCACCACATAATCCACTTTTTTTGCAACTTCTACTGCCTGCTCTATTTGAGCCGAAGAGCACTTCGGTCCACCATCACAGCCAGGATGATAAACAGCGTTCTTCACATAGTGCTGAAACCCTTGCAATATTGTCACAAATTTACAAGGAGGGCCAGCATAGTTTCCTAGAAGAGTTAAAGGAGAAGCATTGGCATTGGGACCTATCACTGCTAAGGAAATGCTGGGGCTCGTTTTTGGAAGTGGGAGAAGTGTGGGAGAGTTTTTTAAGAGGACGATGCCGTTTCTTGCAGCTTCAAGAGCCAGATATTGGTGCTCTTTGGAACAGACATGATTGGGACCAATCATGCCAAATGAGAGCCTGCTTGGATTTCCATCAAACAGGCCTAGCCTCATTCTAATAGAAAACAGGTTGTGAAGGGCACGGTCTATCTGAGACATGGACACTTTTTTCTGCAACACTGCGGATTTAGCATGATCCGTCAAATAAGTACCACATTCGACATCCATCCCTGCAAATTTTAGAAACATATTCATTGCAATGCATCTAAATTACAACACCATTACGTGTAATTAAATTCAGGAAGTAGTCCTTCCTTTTTGGTAATTGCCCTCTTCAAAAGTTCTCAGAAATGACACATAATTATTACTCTCTCCTTACATGGAGTCTGAGAAAATGGAGTGTCCAAGTGCTGTTTTAAATAATTAACACAATTTCCAAATTCAATGTCAACCTGAACATACTCATGACTTCAATACTTCTTAAACACCGGTTAGAGAACTATATTTGACGAGATAAAAGGGCACACTATTAAGCGCCCACAAGACAAAAACTTTTATATAACCTTAGCTCATTACAAATTTTAGGATTCCAGTTTACCCACCAAAATGTGAACCATTTGAATAAAGAAATTACGAGGATTGCTTACATTTCATCAGTTCATCTACTGAAACTCGAACAGGGAATTATGGTTTGTTTAAGTGTGTAATTCTCTAAGGAAATTATTGATTTCATGAAATTTATAAAAGGCATAATTAGTTCATTTTATATCGTTTCTAATGGATTTAGTAAAGATAAACTATTGTTAAGTTTCTTTTTTTGAAAAAAACAAAACATCATTCTGGTATAAAGTAGTTTAATGCTTATTTTTTAGAGACTTAAAAAATCAGGTTTTACGTTTTTTCCTATTATAAAAAATAATTTCTTTACAGAAAAGTTTGACTCTATGAATCAAAATATCCCTACTATTAATGAGGTGATAGTATTACTCCAAGTAAATAGTGCTTAATAGTAAGCGACAATGTTACGAAAGATTTGCAACCAATCAATTGCCTTGACGGAAATCAGTATGTGATGAAAATACATATTAGGAAACATATATTTTCAAAAGAGCAGTGCTACTTTTGCCCCAAAAACACGAATTAAGCAAATTATTAATTTAAGAATTTAAGCAATATCAATGTAATTTGACGGAAAACATTCCGATAAGAATGGTAAAATTCATTTTTTAAGAGTAATTGTTGTTTGAAATGATGAAATAAATTATAGTTGAAAGTAATTTTTTATTAGAAGATGATATTATAAATTATTTAATTTTTTTATTAAAAAAATATTGAAAAAGGTAAATAAATAGAGAAAATGAAATTTTTAAAATTTATTAAACAAAAAAGATTATCAATAAAATCAAATAAAAATTTCTTAAATATAAAGGTCCAATACATCTATATTTTATATTCTTTTTATATAAAAAAATAAGATCATATTAAAAATGTTCATATCATCATTTCTCTTTTCAAAAGATGACACGTAGGATTCTTGTTGTTTTCGTGAAAAAGAGTTTCGTGACTTTTAACATTTTCCTAATTATCATCCCATTTTTCTTGAAAATCCACAACTTACTATTTATTTTCCTATTTTTTAAAACAGAATAGTTACTTTTGATTTTTTTTTCTTTTTAAGTTAATAATATCTTCCCTTTCTTTTCAAATTGGAGCCACTAATACTTCAATAATGTCAAATATTTTTATTTTATACTTTTAGAACTAAATGTGTTAACTAAATATATTTAATTTATAATTTAAAATATTTTCTTTTAAATTATATGTCATAAGTTTTATTTAAATTTAAAAATGCACATAGAAAAGTTTGTTATTATCTAGGCACGCCTGTGTAGAAAGTAGAAAGAAAGTCTTAGTGTGGGGCTCACAGATGTCAGAAAATTAAGAACGATAAATACTTGAATATAAAATTTTATGTAAACAGATCATTGATTAAATACATAGAAAGGTGACATGAGATATAATGATAAACATATTATGGGGCACGCAGTAGTGTCGTAGGGCCAATTGGTAGAGTGGGCCAAACCAGCGACTTTGCCATTAACATGCTTTAAGAATGAATGACATTGTAAAGCCATGTTATTGTTAACCGACAAAAGCCTCAATGCACAAAGAACATGCGATTAGGTAATCACACTTGGAAGTGGGAACTTTGTGCTTTCAATTTGTAATCAAGATTTAACAGTGCGATTAATGTCATGACTTAAAGCAAAAGAGGATAACGATCTAGAAAGAGAGACGTGGGACCCAACATACCAGCACGAAGAACATCGGCCACTGCATCCTCCGCTGATTTTGCAAATCCTTGCTGGTCGTGTATGATGCCCACTGCTCCACAATCGGACGTAATATAGCCATGAAAATCCCATTGTTTTCTGGCCGTTGTGGTTAGCAGGTTGAAATCTGCACAGCTTGGAACCCCGTTGACGCGGTTGTAAGCACACATTATCCCACTGGCCCCTCCTTGCTGTACGCAACTCTGAAATGGAGGCTGGTATGTATCGGCCAAATCTTGCAAAGTCACCTGAAACAGATCATATATAATAGTGTCTACGTATCGAAAACAGAAAAGGTAATTAAGTGGAAAGTAGGGTGAAGTTGTTGATTACGCGAGCATCGAAGAGAAAGCGATCGACGCCCTTCCATTTGTCCAAATCGTAAGCGGTGAAGTGTTTGCAACAGGCGGAGGCTTGAAGGTGGCCCCGGAACTTGGTACCGTGGAAGGAATCTCCCTGGAGGCCCCTGACGTAGGAAACTGCATATCCAGAAGTGAGGAGAGGGTCTTCGCCAGGGGTCTCTTGTCCCCGGCCCCATCGCGGGTCTCTGAAGATGTTAATATTGGGAGCCCAGAAGGTGAGGCCCTGGGCCTGGGCCGCATTATAGATTGCGCGGGCTTCGATCCCAATGGCGCGACCGATTCTGTACCAGAGGAGGGAGTCGAAGGTGGCTGCGCTGAGGATGACCTGAGGGAAGCTAGTGGCGGAGGAGATGGAGCCATTGAAGCGGATGCCGCGGCCCACGCTTCCAACACCGTGCAGGGCCTCGCTCCACCACTGGTAGGCGGGGATGCCTAGGCGGGGTATGGAAGGGGCAGTGTTGACGAGTTGGGAGAGTTTCTCATCGAGTGTGAGTCTGGAGAGAAGGTCTTTGGTTCGTTGGGGGATGGGGAGTTTGGGGTTGCAGAATGGGTAGGATCTGGAGGAAGGGTTGGACCAATCGCAAGCGAATGGTGGCTGAGATGAGTGCACACTCACAGTATGCAGCGTTAGGAAAAGGACGGTCGCAAAGGTGAAGGGGAGGGCCATGCTCCAACGTGATGCTACACTCCCATTTCTCAATTATTCTTCCCTCCCACCATTATTCCATCTTTTTCACTACAAAAATGCACGGGTATACGACTACCAATAATTTAGTCTTGCTTTTATCAATATAGTTATTATATTCTTTGTTTTGAAATTGTGCTTATCATAAGGACATGCTATTTATTGCTTTATACAAGGATCAACGATAATAAAACTTAAACTATACTAAGTTCAAAGCTTATTTTATATCTCTAACTATTATCTCCATTTCCTTCAATACACATCTTTTTCTGGTAAATAAAATCTCTATGCCAATAAGCAAGGGCGATAAAAGAATAATACTAATTCATTGGAGTGGGCTTCGGCAAAAAATGAACCCATAGATCATGAAATGTTGGACCATATTATTAGCCACATTAATGTCTCGGACCCAAAAACAAAACCTCCTTGTTACTTTTTTGGGGGGAATATGGAGGGCCCCTAACGCTTAGGCTACTGCGACTAATTTTATAGCTAAAACAAACCAAGTGAATGTGAAAAATTATTGCTTTGTTTCAGCTTAAATAATATTTGTTCCAACACTAATTTTCAAGTTTTTTATTTTTTTTATAAGCAAATAACATCAATTAATTAATCTAATTACAAAAGCTACTCAGATTCCAAAAATAGAGTAAAATACAAAATAGAGAAAAGTTATTAAAAAACACATTAAACAAAACAGATCCAAGGATTATCGTGTCAGTCTACAAGGTTACAAGACATTGAGATCCACTTCCAAGAATATGACAAATAAAATCAAGTAAATTCAACCGATCTACAACGTCTTGTTTAAAGATCACACAGTTCCAATGCAACCAAATGGATCAAATGACTGCAACCCAACTACAAGGTTACAAGACATTGAGATCCACTTCCAAGAATATGACAAATAAAATCAAGTAAATTCAACCGATCTACAACGTCTTGTTTAAAAATCAAACCGACGTTGAAAGTCGACTTTAGATAGCGGTAATAAGGGAACCGCTATTATATCCTCTCAATTATGATCAGAATCTTATTACCGACGTTGAAAGTATGATTTTTTAAATTAATAATTTTTATTTATTTACAATCCCTTTACCCCCTTTTATTTATCTAGAAGTCTCCCCTCTCTTCATATTATATTTTTATTAGGTCCTCCATCTCTTTATATTATTTTTTTTAGAAGTTTTTTATTTTTTAAGAGAATTGTCATTGACAGGATTCGAACCCAAGATCTTTAGAGTTGGAGGCCGATACTCCAACCACTAAACTACTTGAATTTTTTGATAATAACTTACAAATAAATTATATTTATATACAAATAAATATATATCCGTGTAAATATCACTACTAGAAAAATGTCAAATAGTAACCGAAATCGATGATCGAAAAAGTTAGTTACTATATTAGTGATCGAATCAATAACCAAATTATTATTTTTTAATTTAGTAACTGAAATAGTAACTAAATTTTCGGTCACAATAAATCGATTACTATTTCAGCCAATTTATTATTTAATTTACTTTTTTATTATTTAATTTAATTTTTTAATTTTTTTAATTATTCTAATTAGTATCTAATTTTCACTCCCTCTCTGTTACCCTCCCAACTTTCATCTTATTCGCACTGATAATCCTCTAAAATTTTGTGTTCTTCATGCCGACGACCCTCCCAAATTCACCTTCCCGCTCACATTCACTCCCTCTTTATGACCTTGTACCAGTGACTATCCACCATTGTTCGAGCTTAATCACCTTCGTCTCTCTAACCCCAATCCTCCACCCTTCTATTCAGCTTCGAAGATCTTTAACCCAGCATGCATGACCCGACCTCAAGCTTGAAATCCAACCCAGTGACCTTGAATCGAAATCCGAGTGACCAAAACACCCAATCAAAACCCAAGCAACTTCGAATCTCAACCTCGGCCTCAACCTCGACGAACTCGAGGCCGAACCCCAACTCGGCGACATCGAACCCCAATGTCAAGCCAAACCCAATTGTCATGCTGTGAAACCCAACGCAAACCCAGCGGAGCTCGAACCCTAACGCATACCCTAGTGACGTCGAACTCTAACCTCGAGCCAACCCCCACTTTAATTCGGTCGCAATTAGCGATTGATTGATTGCTCAAGGATGTGTAAAAGATGATATATTCAATGTATGTTAAAAAAGTTCAAGCCAAACTGTTTTTATAGAAGATTTTCAAAACTGCTGGTTTAATTAATCTGTTAAAAGATTCTTTTAATCTGTTAAAGTGCAGTTTTAATCTGTTAAAACTTCTTTTAATCCATTAATACGTTCTTGATTTTTTAACAGATTTGTTTTAACCGATACGTACTGACAACGTTTATATCAATTAAAACACTTTACAAAAAATCTTCTAAGTTGATTTAATCGATTGTTTCGCGATTCAATCGATTGAAATACTCGCAAAACTTTCTCGTAAAACTTTTCAAGTAATTTTAACTGATAAAAATAAGTTTTAATCGATTAAAACACTCGTGCAGAAATTGTTTTAACTACTACAAATAAAGCTTTCAACGCTCGGTTCTAATAAACCGACGTTGAAAGTCGACTTTAGATAGCGGTTATAAGGGAACCGCTATTATATCCTCTCAATTATGATCGATCATGATCAGAATCTTATTACCGACGTTGAAAGTATGATTTTTTAAATTAATAATTTTTATTTATTTATAACCCCTTTACCCCCTTTTATTTATCTAGAAGTCTCCCTCTCTTCATATTATATTTTTATTAGGTCCTCCATCTCTTTATATTATATTTTTTGAAGTTTTTTATTTTTTAAGAGAATTGTCATTGGAGATTCGAACCCAAGTACTTTAGAGTTGGAGGCCGATACTCCAACCACTAAACTACTTGAATTTTTCGATAATAACTTACAAATAAATTATATTTATATACAAATAAATATATATCCGTGTAAATATCACTACTAGAAAAATGTCAAATAGTAACCGAAATCGATGATCGAAAAAGTTAGTTACTATATTAGTGATCGAATCAATAACCAAATTATTATTTTTTAATTTAGTAACTAAATAGTAACTAAATTTTCGGTCACAATAAATCAGCTTACTATTTCAGCCAATTTATTATTTAATTTACTTTTTTATTATTTAATTTAATTTTTTAATTTTTTTAATTATTCTAATTAGTATCTAATTTTCACTCCCTCTCTCGTTACCCTCCCAACTTTCATCTTATTCGCACCGATAATCCTCTAAAATTTTGTGTTCTTCATGCCGATGACCCTCCCAAATTCACCTTCCCGCTCACATTCACTCCCTCTTTGTGACCTTGTACCGGTGACTATCCACCATTGTTCGAGCTTAATCACCTTCGTCTCTCCAACCCCAATCCTCCACCCTTCTATTCAGCTTCGAAGATCTTTAACCCAAGCATGCATGACCCGACCTCAAGCTTGAAATCCAACCCAGTGACCTTGAATCGAAATCCGAGTGACCAAAACACCCAATCAAAACCCAAGCAACTTCGAATCTCAACCCCGAGCCTCAACCTCGACGAACTCGAGGCCGAACCCCAACTCCGGCGACATCGAACCCCAATGTCAAGCCAAACCCAATTGTCATGCTCGTGAAACCCAACGCAAACCCAGCGGAGCTCGAACCCTAACGCATACCCTAGTGACGTCGAACTCTAACCTCGAGCCAACCCCCACTTTAATTCGGTCGCAATTAGCGATTGATTGATTGCTCAAGGATGTGTAAAAGATGATATATTCAATGTATGTTAAAAAAGTTCAAGCCAAACTGTTTTTATAGAAGATTTTCAAAACTCGCTGGTTTAATTAATGCGTTAAAAGATTCTTTTAATCTGTTAAAAGTGCAGCTTTAATCTGTTAAAACTTCTTTTAATCCATTAATACGTTCTTGATTTTTTAACAGATTTGTTTTAACCGATACGTACGACAACGTTTATATCAATTAAAACACTTTACAAAAAATCTTCTAAGTTGATTTAATCGATTGTTTCGCGATTCAATCGATTGAAATACTCGCAAAACTTTCTCGTAAAACTTTTCAAGTAATTTTAACTGATAAAAATAAGTTTTAATCGATTAAAACGCTGTGCAGTAAATTGTTTTAACTACTACAAATAAAGCTTTCAACGTCGGTTCTAATAAACCGACGTTGAAAGTCGACTTTTAGATAGCGGTTATAAGGGAACCGCTATTATATCCTCTCAATTATGATCGATCATGATCAGAATCTTATTACCGACGTTGAAAGTATGATTTTTTAAATTAATAATTTTTATTTATTTACAACCCCTTTACCCCCTTTTATTTATCTAGAAGTCTCCCTCTCTTCATATTATATTTTTATTAGGTCCTCCATCTCTTTATATTATATTTTTTAGAAGTTTTTTATTTTTTAAGAGAATTGTCATTGGCAGGATTCGAACCCAAGTACTTTAGAGTTGGAGGTCGATACTCCAACCACTAAACTACTTGAATTTTTCGATAATAACTTACAAATAAATTATATTTATATACAAATAAATATATATCCGTGTAAATATCACTACTAGAAAAATGTCAAATAGTAACCGAAATCGATGATCGAAAAAGTTAGTTACTATATTAGTGACTGAATCAATAACCAAATTATTATTTTTTAATTTAGTAACTGAAATAGTAACTAAATTTTCGGTCACAATAAATCAGTTACTATTTCAGCCAATTTATTATTTAATTTACTTTTTTATTATTTAATTTAATTTTTTAATTATTTTAATTATTCTAATTAGTATCTAATTTTCACTCCCTCTCTGTTACCCTCCCAACTTTCATCTTATTCGCACTGATAATCCTCTAAAATTTTGTGTTCTTCATGCTGACAGCCCTCCCAAATTCACCTTCCCGCTCACATTCACTCCCTCTTTGTGACCTTGTACCAGTGACTATCCACCATTGTTCGAGCTTAATCACCTTCGTC